GGTCTCCCCACATGTGGTGTGTTCCATTTTTTTTTCATGGGGGCTGGCAGATTCGGGCCCCCTAGCTGCTGCCAGGCCCCTAATCTGCCCTGGGCCCCTTACCGCCTCCCATGCGCGCCAGGGCCCCGGGCTCATGCCATGTGCCACTTTTTGGTTCCCACACTGCTGGTGTGTTCCATTTTTTGTCATAGGGTCTGGGAGATTACGGGCCTCCCTTTGCTGCTGCCGGCCCCTAATTGCCATGGGCCCCTATACCGCCCCCTCGTGCTGCCTCCCGGGCTCTCATGGGTCCTTTTGGGTCCCATTGCTGCTGTTCCATCGCCACAAACTCTGGCCGTGGGGCCTTTTTGGTCTTCACATGCTGGTTTTGTTCAAAATTTTTTTTAAGGGTGTGGCAGATTCGGGCCCCCCATAGGCTGCCAGGACCATAAACTGCCCTGGGCCCCCGTACCGCCTCCTCTGTGCTGCCAGGCCAAGTGTTATTGCCATTGCCCTTTCAGGTCTCCTCACCACTGCTGTTTGTTCCATTTTTTGTCATAGGGTGCGGCAGATTACGGGCCTCCCAAAGCTGCTGCCAGGCCCCTAATCTGCCATGGGCCCCCCTGTACTCGCCTCCCTCATGCAGCTGCCAGGGTTCCACAGTGTCTCAATGCCATGTGCCAACTTTTCAGGTGCTCATCCACACTGCTGGTGTGTTCCATTTTTTGTCATAGGGTGTATGGCAGATTACGGGGCGCCCCTATAGCTGCTGCCAAGGCCCCTAATTGCCATGGGCCCCCTATACCGCCTCCTCATGCTGCCTAGCCAGTGTCCAGAGTCTCTCATGGCGTCCCTGTAAAACCGGCAAATCCCATGTCTGCTGTCTTCTGTCTCCATCGCCACACTCTGCCATGTGCCACTTTCAGGTCGTCCTCACCACTGCCTGGTGTGTTCAATTTTTTTGTCATAGGTGCTGGCAGATTACGGGCCTCCCATAGCTGCTGCCCAGGACCAAATACTGCCATGGGCCCCTGTACTCGCTTATCCTCATGCTGCTGCCAGTGAAAAAAAAACACCCCCCCCCCACAAGTGTCTCATGCCATGTGCCACTTTCAGGTCTCCTCACACTGCATGGTGTGTTTCCATTTTTTGTCATAGGGTGCTGGCAGATTACGGGCCTCCTATAGCTGCTGCCAGGCCCCTAATGCTTGGCCATGGGACCCTATACCTGCCTCCTCATTGCTGCTGCCAGGTCCAGAAGTCTCTCATTGGTCCCTGTACGGCCATCCCTTGCTGCTGTCTCTCCATCCGCCACAACTCTGCCCATGTGCCCACTTTCATGTCTCCCTACACATGCTGGTGTGTGTTCCATTTTTTGTGCATAGGGTGCTGGCAGATTACGGGCCTCCCATAGCTGCTGCCAGGCCCCTAATCTGCCATGGGCCCCTATACCGCCTCCTCATGCTGCTGCCAGTCCAGAGTCTCTCATGGGTCCCTGTACAGCCTCCCATTGCTGCTGTCTCCATCGCCACACTCTGCCATGTGCCACTTTCAGATCTCCTCACACACTGCTGGTGTTGGTGTGTTACATTTTTTGTCATAGGGTGCTGGCAGATTACGGGCCCTCCCATTGCTGCTGCCAGGCCCTTATAATCTGCCATGGGCCCCCATACTGACTCCTCATGCTGTGACGTTTGCTAACAAGGGTGGAATTCAAAACCTACATGGGTCCTGTAGACCGCCTTTACGAAACAGCGAAAGGCCCATCACAGATTTGCCTGATGTTTAAAAGCGGATAAAAGGTTACTCCCTGTGTAACTTTGATGTCAGCCATTGGCAGCTCATTCTGTAACACCTGCCGCTTGCTTGGCAGATTTGAGGAAGGCCAACGCTATCCGTTGAGTCGGCGTTGGGACAATATCTGGGAAATCTCTCGACGTCATTCCTCTTTTTGCTCGTCCTGGAACAAATGCTGTTAACAATGGCTGTCGTCAGGTGCGGTAGAACGTGGCGCAACAGATCTTCAACGCAAAAAAAAACATGACCATCCCTGTGGGGCGCAGGACTTGTGAAGTAGAGAGTGACGGTAGAGGAGGACATTGTGCTCAGGAATTATTGAGTGATATGGGTGGTGTTTTCCACTCTGCTGACAGGAGTTGGAGTGCAGGGAGCATCTTGTAGAGGAGGAGGTAGGAGGAGTTACAGAGGACCCAGACCCACCGTGGCAGTATGTGCTGGTTGGAGATGGAGGGCAGGGATTTCCTCGCAGTTCTTGGCAACAAATGGCCCATAGCCATGCTCGGTTTGCGTTGCGTAGCGGACAGCCGACATAATAACCATCAGACAGAGGGATGACTTTTGGCTGTTCACCTTGTTGGGACCCTCGGCCTACCGTTGGCAAAATGGTGGCCTTTTTCTCACCTGCTGAAGGAGGGAGGCCAAAAAACTAACGTACTATAAAAACCACCTATGTAGTCCAGCTGGTCTCTGCCTTTGTGCGACAACGTCCATCCTCAAGACACTGTGGGCCCTGTGCGCTCGCTGTTCCACTGCCATGGCAGCAGGGGAGGGGTGGGTGTGTTAGGGGGAGCAGTGGAGCCAGCTTACACCAGCAGCGGCTGCCTCAGTCTGCAGTCGATGATGTAGTAGCTTTACTTCAACCACGCATGAAGGAGAAACTACTAACACAGCCGCAGCACAAGCAAGCATCTGGGGACCCTGGAAGCACCGACCTCAAACAACAGGCTTGTGCCTACACATGGACAGCACCCTGCCAACACGAGTAGACAATCCCCTTGACTACTGGGCAATCGAAACTTACCTTTTGGCCCCAACAACACATCTGCATTTTGCCGGGGAGGTTGAAAGGCTTTCAGGCAAGGCCAGTAGCAGTGGAATCGGAGCGCCGCTGTTTAAGTGCGGCAGGAGGTATTGTAACTCCGCGGAGGGACACTACTGGTCCACCCAAAGCTGTGGAGAGAACTTTTCGGTTGTGTAATAATGAATCAGGCGTCGGATTTAGTCTGGTAATTCTAAACCACCATTGCTGACACAAATCTGACTAAATCCCCCATGAATCATGCCCAAAACATGTGCCACTTTCAGGTGTCTCCTCACACTGCTGGGTGTGTTCCATTTTTTGTCATAGGGTGCTGGCAGATTACGGGCCTCCATAGCTGCTGCCAGGACCCTAATCTGCCATGCGGCCCCTATTATCGCGCTTCCTCATGCTGCTGCACAGAGTCCAGAGTCTCTCATGGGTCCCTGTACGGCCTCCATTGCTGCTGCTCTCCATCGCCACAACCACTCGCTGCCTTGTGCCACTTTCAGGTCTCCTCACACTGCTGGTTTGTGTTCCATTTTTTGTCCAGTAGGGTGCTGGCAGATTATACGGTTCAGCCCATAGCTGCTGCCAAGGCACCCTATCTACGCCAATGGCCCCCTCTCTATCTCTACGCTCTCTCTTCATGCAGATGCTGCCTAGGATCCTGAGTCTCTCATTGTTCCCCTGTTAACGCCTCCCATTGTTGCTGTCTCACCATCGCCACAATCTGCCCCCTGCCATGTGCCCACTTTCAGGTCTCCTCACGACTGCTGGTGTGTTCCATTTTTTTTTGTCATAGGGTGCTGGCAGACTTAACGGGCCTCCCATAGCTGTGCTGGCCAGGTCCATAATCTGCCATGGGCCCCCATTACCGACTCCTCATTGCTGCTGCCAGGCCCGTAATCTGTCATGGGCCCCTGTTGTCGGCTTGTTGGCATATTCCGCTCGTTCAGATGCTCCTTCTCCTGCTACTCCTCTTCACGGATTCCGTCAGCAGTCTTTCTTGGAATCCGTTTCCAAGAGAGACAACAGTTTGCGAGCACGCACCCCGACGGTGCAGAAGCTGAACGTCCTCCTGTCCAAGTTGGCTGCTGCCAGGCTCGTAACCTGTCATGCGCCCCTGTACCGCCTCCTCATGCTGCTGCCAGGTCCAGATGTGTCATGGGCCCCCCGTACCGACTCCTCATGCTTCTGCCAGGCCCGTAATCTGTCATGGGCCCCTGTATCCCGGCTCCTCATGCTGCTGCCAGGTCCAGTGTGTGTCATGGGTCCCTGTTTCGGCCTCCCATTGCTGCTGTCTCCATCGCCACACTCTGCCATGTGTCACTTTCAGGTCTCCTCACACTGCTGGTGGTTTTCCATTTTTGTCATAGGGTGCTGTTATGGCCTCCCATTGCTAATGCCTCCACCGCCACACTGTGGCTCCACACTCTGGTTTTGGCCCCGTGACTGCCCAAATGAGTGAAGTGTGGCGGTGATTCTAAGATCGACGGCACTCATCTGCATGTCATACTGACTGTCAGTATTATTTCTCTTCCCCAGCAGACTCCAAGGGCATTTAAATTAAAGGTACAGTGTTCTGCACTAATATAAAGGCTCTCTGAAGCCTAGAAACACCCTTTTATAAGTTAAATTTGCAGCGAATATATTCGACTCGAATTGAAAATTTTCCACGAATTCGCTCCGAATCATCGAATCGAAATTTTTGAATACTTCGCTCATCTCTAGTCAACATCTCATGTGTATTAGAAGTACAGATCATTTAGCAAATCCATAGATCACTTCAGACTGAGATGGGCAAGTAAAACAGTTATACTGCATCTAAATGAGAACTTTCTGATCATAATTAATATGCCCTACCATCTGTGGAATACTAAATCTTAAATGAATCTTGCAGAGATTCACATATTCAAATAATATGATGTGAATGACAGAGGTTATCCTTTGAATGATCAATGTAAAATAGAAGCCTTATTCATAAGCAGTAGCTATGTTGTATTCAACAGCAGACATTTGCAGTGTCTATTTGTGAGACCAGTTTCTTGATGCACTGTTTGTCTTTACCCCCCAAATGTCTCACACAGAGTAGACCCCAACTACAGCCTATCACCTTGTGTCTTGCTGCAAAGTTACATTGTATTTGCAGGCTGATCACTGGGAGAGAGGAGATTGAGGAAATGCTTCCTCCTGCCAGGAGAGCAGACTTTGCCTCATCCCTAGGTAAAGTCCCATGACTTTTTTAAAGTCTGCTTTTATATTGCATTCCCACTTATGCACTGCATCACACACAGTAAAACTCATATTTTAACTCATGTTAATACCCTGTAATACACAGGTATATGTGCCTTGTGGTGTACTGCAATTCATTTTTAAGAGCACCCCAATACACATGCATACAATAAGTCAAAAAGGACTATGGTATGCATTGGGGTGCAACTGAACTGCCAAAATAAGGCAGGTGCATGATTGACAGTGTTTGCTCTATGCACCACAATATTGTGAATGGACCCCATACTGGTCCATAAAGGGTCTTCCTTCCATTCTCCAATGGTCTAAGAGGGTCTGGCGTCATTAAAACGAATGCAGATTCCCCACCGGCACCTAGTGTCACAGTACAGTATCAGTGCTTTTTATTAGCACTGAACACTGTGTTAGTGTCACTGGGGATGTCAGTGCCAGAATACCCGCCGCAGTCCTGCAGTCCCTCTATAAATTGCTGATCGCTGCCATTACTAGTATTTAAATAAAAAAAAAAAAATTTAATTTACACATATTGGGATTTTATTTTAGCAAAGACATGATACAGAATACATTTTGGCCTAAATTTATGACGAAATTTGATTTTTTAAAATGTTTTTTACTTGATGTTTTATAGCAAAAAGTCCCCAAAATGTTTTTTTTTTAAATATGTCGGTCTTTTGTTTATAAAGCAAAAAATAAAGAATGCAGAGGCTATCAAATACCACCAAAAGAAAGCTCCATTTGGGGGCGTGTCCGGTTGGCTCTGTGGATGGCTGCTTCCAAACAGAGCTCCACAGCACTCCAGCTCAGTCAGCGGCCACACAGCGACTTCAGGGTTGAAAAATATACCTTCACTGATTGGGTACTTACCCCTCCACTCTCCGATGTTATGCCACGTCGCAGGAAGTCACCTGGGCAACCGCAGAAGCTCACAGACTTCTATGCAGCCCGGGATCACAGGATGCAAGATGGCACCAGCGGCCTGTTCAGCGATCTATCCACCCTGCCAGACAACCAATACAGATTCACACCAGACCCCAGGCTCTCCGTTCCTCTATATGATGGCGATCCGGGTGAGTCATCTCCCCCATTATCACCCACATCACGCAGTCCTGCCAAATCCAGGACTAGGATAGAGGATCCCTTCCACATAGATACACAGGCATCTCCTCTCCTCCACATTCCTGCCTCACAGCTGCAGTCAGCCATAGAAGCTTTCCCTGCCTCTGACCAACCTGTTTCAGAATTAGCTATGAAGAACATACTTCTCTCATTACGGCAAACACTTCATACCGATTTATCAGCTGCACTAA